TAGTTGTAACCTTCCTTCCTTTTGAGTCGAATCTTGCTGTTATGTTCGTGGATGAGGTTGGTCCTTACTGCATTAGGGCTCTGGTCCTTGTTGATGACATCATGATAGTCATTCACTGCCCCAGTGTGTTCGTTTTTGTCGCCTGGGTGACCGGAGTAAGTTATTGATTCTCTCGTTGACAGTGTTGTCAGTCCACATCCATTTCATCTGCTTTCGAAGATACCCAGCCAGCACTTCTATGCCATATCTTCGCATCCACTTGGCTACCTGGGAAGCCTTCCCAGTCTCGCACATTGTATGTACATTCCATGTGTCCATTCTTATTCCTGCCTTCGTCGAGAGAAGACACACCGGCTAACTGACTTCCCGAAGGCTTTCACCAGCTCTGTCATTTCGCCTCTCCGATTCGAGAGGAGAATAAGATTTTTATCTGAAGTTTTTTGTATTTTTAATATATATTCTGTTTGCTGAAGTTTCTCAAGAGGTTTGAAAGATTTAGTGGTGTCGGGTTGCTTGGTCTACGCCTAATCTCCCTCTTTACCCGGGCTTGCTGCCGCCTGGGTAATAGCTAGCTTGTTAACTAGGCGAGGTTAATATCGCATCAACTTTCGTCCAAACCCCAGCATTTAATTACTGCTTAGGCCACGGGTTCATTGAAAGGCAGAAGACGTGTAGCCAACCGTACTCCGTGCGCTATATTCGGCCAGGTTAAGCTCTAAGCACCGCCAACTACAAACGGAGCGCTATCACACTAGTGATCTTCCACGGTCCAACACGATTTATTCACGTGGGTTGAAGAACCTACTCCACTGGATTCCGAGCAACTGCTCTAACGCAGTTGCATTTATAATCTGGTGAGGATCCAGTCTTCCAGTATTGCTTAGACATGGGGCTGATTGGGAAAGAAGAGATTTGTTCGTGTGGAGGTGTGTTGACCATAAAAAGTTTCGGCAGGTCCGCTGATGGACACGCGTACCGTTGTGCAATTTGTTTGAGATGAATTAGTAAGCTGATGATCCAAATACTTCGTAGGAACATTTTTTGCCAGGTCAAATCTTTTCTTAACCCAGATTTAATACGTGTGGATATAAATGTCTTGTTAACATAATAATAATAGTTGACTGCCACAATTTAACATGCACTTGTTTTGGATTCTAAACTCTTTCATGAAGTCATGAAGTTCACAGAAGTTAACAATGATATTTTTAAATGTGGTCTTTTGCAACGGTTTTGGGTTTTAATGGGCATTTTACAACAGTATACCGTTATAAAATTCTCCATAGTAATCCATCATGGCTATATGCTTACCTAATGAATGTGCCTCTGAAGAGTCTCAGGCCAAGACGCTTTCTGTGGTTAGTGAAATGTAACTTAAAATCAGTTAAATCCCTGCCACCTGAGATGTCGAAAGGTGGTCTGTTTCACCAAAAAACATCGAAGGATAATAATGGTTTGGAGTTTCAGACTCTTTTGGTTCGCTTCATCCTTTAGTAAGGGTTAACTTTTAAAAACCAGGCCCAGGTCAAGCAAATCACTTATGCTATTGCACTTTGCTGCCAAAATGGACGTAATTCTTTACCAATCTTTCAATGGATGGATGTATAACTAGTCTCACTGGGCAAAACACTGGCCTTGAATTTGGTTAAAGACGAATGATAGCTTGCATTGTGGCATAATAATCCCTCACGGGTTGAAAAACAGGCACAACCATTTTGGCTATAGTTAAACGCATTTTAAGAGCGATTAATTGTTTTAAGGTAGATCTGGACAGCCAATTCTTTGTCGGTTAACTTATCGAAACCGAAAGGTTTGAGTCACTTTGGGCGATAGACTCCTATGAGTGTCATACTTTGAAAAATCTACAACATTGCAGCTGCCTGGGTAAGCAAATTATTCAGCCTGCGTAGTGAAAACATTATACCTACCATTTTCAGAGGTTGGATATCATTACAGCGATCTCCTGAAATTTCAGCGGTGTTGGAGGTGTGACCTCATCGCAAATAATTACCATGATAAATTATATGATTGACTTGTCATAATTGTGTCTACCCAGTGTCATGATCTAAAGGTGTTTCCACCAAACTTACTTGGCGGCTGATTCAAATTGACTTTTGCTCACTAAAATTTAAATCTGATTTGCTCTCCCATCTCTATGTAACCTTATGGCGCAGCTCCGGCAATGGCACTGTGCTGCCCAACGTCAGTATAGCAGGAATAAGAAGTATCTTAAAGCCTTCTAAATTAGAAGGCTATAATAAAAATCAGCAAGTGTGTTAGAAGTAGCTGGGCCAGGGCTAAATTATGCATGTTGTTTTTTAGCTAGCTGTAAACAGTGAACATCAGGGTCCGTGGCCTAGATTCGTACTGCAACTTACTTAGACAATGGCACTCCTCGGAAGTGTCGTTCTAGGTTAGCCAGTCAAGAGATCTGTCTTATTTATATGGAATTAGCTAACTGAAGAATTCATTAAAGAACAGAGACCATAAACTGGTAGACTTCTGTATTTCCTGATGCGTTGCACTCACTGACAATCTAGCAGATTTTTCCAACTGTGCACAGAAATTATTGTACATAAGTGAAAAGAATGTTTTATACTACTAGGATTAACATTTATCAAGTGTATGTATAATCTCCAGCGTACATGTAAAACATAATTTGCTATCGATTGTAAAATGTGACTGAATAATATGGTCCTATTTCTGTAACAATTTGATGATGCCTGTAAACTGGCGTTCCTCATGTACTGTACTATGAGAATAAATCTATTTATTTATCTATTTATTCATAAGTTGTCGGACCGAAATTCTTCGTATTACACTTAACACGACCTGAAGATAGCCATAAATCACCACAGTAATCAATAACTTGACTGGGACACAGTTGTCATATGATGAACAGTCGACAAACGTGTCTTAATAGTAAAATCAGTGAAATAGCTGTTGGAAGCAATATTAGAATGTGATATAGAGCATAATAAAGGGCTGGTACTCTCTCCAAAGATGACTATCCTGTATTCTATCTACGAAACCGTCACCAGATCGAATTCTCTACAAGAGATGTCAAGAGCCAGAAGGATAATCTGAGGAATTAATATGCGGTTGACAAGTAGGCTGACAAAGCAAAATTGATTAGATAGAGCACAACTAGCAACTGTTTGCTACAGTTAATTGCTATAGAATTTCGCAAATCCATTTCAAAGTAATTCAGGTTCAAATATTCTGGTTGCATCGTTACAGTGATATTTCATTCAGCTAGCAACACTCCATAGCAGGAATTCTTATATTCACCCAATGGGAAACGAATCTAAGTAAACAAGACCATACGATATCAGTACATTATTTTCTGGCTTTAGCGTTCATCGGGGTAAAATGCAAAACGTGTCGTCCAGTGTTAACTCCTAATTCGCTGACCAGGATTGGTAGTGTGAAGGATCAGAGAGAACTGTCGATTCAGTTGGAGCTCGACCATCTAGCCATCAGAGATAAAATTTTTATTTAGGGCGACTCAGTTGCATTGCAGACAACTGGATTTCCCAGGGTCAAGGGCGTGGTCGGACATCTATATTCCCTTTATACTACAGCCAATAAACACATCCTTCTGTCACTAGTTTAGGTGGTTGTAACTAGCAACCTAGTGACCAGGTTAGATGGATCATGCTAAATAATTTGCAAGTGGTGTGGCCCAAGCGCAGGCCTAGAAGGGCATATGGCCACATAACAACTATGAGCGTTATTTCTAGTTAGAGTCAACCACAAACGAGCTCGGAGTCGCAGCAGTGACGTAAATAACTGACTCTCTAGAATATAACCATGACCACCGATGACGAGGTTGAAGTGAAAATCAACACAGGACGAACAAACTCGGAACAAGCATACATCTGCCACACTTTATATTAGTCTTTATCGACGACGGAGTTCACGACGGAGACATTAGTAACATTGTATATCATGCTATGTCACAGAATACACTACACGACCATTCCACTTTGGCGACATGGAAACATGGAAACTAACACAGTTGTGAGTCGGGTACAAACTACCACAAATCAAATAACTCACTGGTCTTGCAGTTACTTGCACGCCTTATATTACAGATAAATATCGTTTATTCACTAATTTCTCAGATTCAAAAATAAGATGCAATATACTAGCAAACGTGTTTATTGCTTGCCGTACTCCCTGCGAGGCTGAAAATATCATAATTATATTGTTAATTCTACTAAGCAAAGAGGCATGTAGAAGTTGTAGTTCAGTTCGTTCTCACAACTGAAGACACCAGACTATTTTTGTTGCCGCTTGATTATCTAAAGATGTAGCGAGATCTATTTCGTCATCATTTAACTGTTGCTCACCGCTTTTAATTATGTCATATGAACTTAAACATCATAGAGACTTCCTATAGTATTATGCCTTTTACCCTCCACTTTGTTGACAAGAATTTTTTATATGTCCAGAAGGGGCGCCAGTTTAGTACTTTTCTATAATCATCAAATAAAGCCTCGTAAAGTGAATACAGTCAAATGGATATCCACAAAAATATTCATGTCTCAAATTGTGACCCGAATTCATCCTTTCTCAAGAATCTTACTTGTCGACAGTAAACTTAGGCACATCATAACAACACTTTCTTTATTTCTTTTTCTGTCATTTAGTTTCATTAACCTACATTAAATATATCTGTTATTATTATCTCTTTTCTTTTGACGACGATACTGGAGGAGTAACTGGTGAAGGGGTCAATTCCATTCACAGTAATAACAAAATCCTAACACAACGCATACTACAAGCAACATATGATTAACCCCAGTACTGCTCCTTTCGGAGTCAACCAAAGCTTGGACAGTCGAGTGGTGGAATGAACTACGTAGAAGTTTACCGAAGGCTAAGAACCTTCATCTCACAATCAAGAGGCGAGCACAAAGAAATCAAATTGGTTTATACTACCTCGTAAAAAGATATTGTATATTGGATTCCAGATAAGTTTATGTGCTTTAATTTCAAGGCCATCTAGGATACTTTCGAGGTTGTTACACGTCATTTTTCCTTAAAATGTTTGTGTTTGTTCCAGTCATTATTTCTCTACTCTTTTGTTCCTCTGAAGGTAACTTACCTTCCTAACTCAAACTTTTTATTGTGTGCTTTAGCTAAGCCAGGTCGCGTATTACTTAAGAATGTAGATGTTATTACCTTGTACCATGATAAGTTTGCAGAGTCCAGAAAAGGTTATCGACTCCCTCAGGTACCAATCGTTTTTCAGAGTTATTTTGTAGTTGAAATGTGTTGGTGGAAGTGGATTTAAATATCCAGAGTACTACCCTAAAGTTGTTCAGTGTTATAATCGGGGTTTTGATGGCCGTGATGTCCAATGGGAATGTAAAGCAGAACTTGATAAAGAAGTAACTTTTGGACCTATCAATGTTAATTGCGAAGGATATGACTATCCAGAAGACGATTATATTGTCCATGGTTCGTGTGCTGTGAGTCCTTATTAACTTCCATGCATTATTTTTTCTATACTGTTTTCACCCGAAAACGCTTCCGCATTGATGCATTTTCGTATCGGCCTCTTCCCTTTTTCCCTAGGTATGTATGCCAAAGTACTCCATATGTTTTGTATTATATTAATGTAATGTAAGAACAGTACTTGTAGACCATGTGCCATGGTGTGTGTTGATACGCGCACTCCGGTTATTTTGAACATTGCCCCCCCCACAACATTGCCTCGGCACTGCGTTTTAGGCTCTAGTTCCTCAATTTATTTGTGCAAGTTTCACAGTCCCTGTTCAAGAATTTATATTCCTTCATTTGTGAGGAATATCAGTTTACAAGCCTGATTATTTTAGTTGATTGTTATTTTACCCACTTATGTTAGGAATTGAATCTCCATTGAATAAAAAAAACAAGGTTAAATGATTGTTGGCATTTTGACTTTTGTCTAGTTTTGCTACTATAAAGTGTTTCAACTGTACCGATTGTTTGTCAGAAGAATAATCATATCCTTGGCACTTCTTGTTAGTTGACCAGAGCTTCCTTGCAGTTATCTTTTAATAACATTTTAAGAATACTTGTTAGTATCTTGGATCTTCTGTACAAAAACGAAAAGATAAGGATGAGTGTGAATGTTTGCTGGGTTGGTGAGGAAGGAGGTATGTTCACATAAGGAAGTTGGAAAGCGTCAATTCGAAATTCATGGCGCACATGAGCGTCAGAGTCCTAACGGAATGACTTTTGGACGAACCGGAATTAGTTACCAACAAACTTGGACATCGTTGTTTTGCCTGGGAGTGGTTCTGTAAGGCAACCATCTGCTTTCTTTTAGCTTAACCAAATCCCCCTAGAACGGATAGGTAGCAAAGCTTACTTGCTGGTCGTTCGATAGAAACTCTTCATTGCTGTTAAATCCCTAATCGCCTACAATCCCCTAATATAGTGTGGATGACTTATACTATGATGGTAACTGCTTCTGGTCTAAACGCTATCCAAAGGACCTTTATGTCATTACAGGAGAATTTTTTATAACCTGTGTAGCTCATTGGGTCGTTGCGACATATAAGGTTGTCGATCGGGATATTCAGTCATATATCATGTGTAAATCACCCAATTTTTTGCCACCTTCACGATTATTAATACATTTAATTTTGATTGTATGGAGGATTTCACCATGAGCTGACATCAGTTAAAGAACCACTGGAAAACCTGGGAGTACTGGACAACTAGGACCAAACAGCTGTCCAGTACTCCCAGGTTTTCCAGTGGTTCTCTAACTGATGTCAGCTCATGGTGAAATCCTCCATACAATCAAACAAAATCAATACTTGAACATTTAATTTTGTCAGCTGTTCGTCATTGTTTCTGGTGCGTTCATGTTGTGTCAAGTTCCCGTGCAAACATAGACTTTTGGAAAACGTAGTATTGAGTTGCGGGACATATCGATCATATCACAGTAGCGGTGGGATAATAGAGGACTGACTGAATTCATTGTTTCCCTGTTACTGTAATGAAGTTGTGTTAGTAACTGTGATATGTTAAGGACTTTTCTATTTATTAAAATTCATTTTAAATCGCGTTTCTAAACAATATGAACAGATTTCACATGTGGCTTTACCGAAGTTTTCATACAATAATTGTTGACTATTTCTAGAGCTAGGCAGGACTTCCGTAAAATAACCATTTCACGGAGTTGTATAAAGGATTAGACTTAGCTGTTTAACTGACATATTAATAACATCGAATGTGACACTGATCTGAACTCATTGTTGATCATTCTGCTATTATTTCGGGAAAACTTTTGTGAATATATCTTAAGATGTTTCTTGACCAAGTATTTATAAGTTTCATCACGTTTGGTCATTGGTCCGTTCGTTCCTTTAGGTGTTTACCCTTTAACCCAAAGATATGCAAGTTGGTAATTTCATCAGTGTATCATTCTTTAAGTTGAGGCGTATTTCTGAGAAACATGCTTATTTCACTTATCTCTATTATGATATGAACTGATATGAATATAACTCTTCCTTATTTCGGATTCATTGTAGTTGGAATACGAGCTAAATGTGAGGCATCATAAAAAAGAGAAGAGATATCACGCGTAAGTTACGAAATTTGAGTCATTTTAACTATTTACTTCAAACTGTCAACTAATATTTTCATTATTTTCCGAGATACCAATAACAGGGTTCGACAGTATAATATCGAGGTTAGCTGTGAATGTACAAAAATAGTATTTGGTCAATTAAAGGTGTTCCGCTACATTACAGGGCTTTTTGACCTCTGATATAATTAGTTACTATTATTATTATATTATTGTAACCTTTAGTTCCTAGAGGAACATAGGGCTTCAGCTGCGCACCTCCATTGACTTCGGTTTTCTGACAACTTTTTCACCCTGCTCCAGGTCTGTCCACATGCTTTCATCTCCTCCTCGCATGACCTCCTCCAAGTCACCCTTGGACGACCAACTCGCCGCCTCCCTTTCGGGTTCCACTCGAGGGCTTGTCTAGTGATGTCACTTGATGGTTTCCTCAGCGTATGGCCAATCCATCTCCATTTCTTTCTGCCTATTTGTTTCACAATCGGTTCCTGATTGGTTCGCTCCCAGAGATCCCTGTTGCTGATCTTTTCTGGCCATCTGATCTTGAGTATTGAGCGGAGACAACTGTTAATGAAGGTTTGAAGTTTGTTTGAGATGCTCTTTATGACTCGCCAAGTCTCTGATCCGTATAGTAGCACTGACTTCACATTGGAGTTGAAAATCCGGATCTTATTTTTGATGCTGAGTGCTGTTGACCTCCACACAGATTTGAGAGTAATGAAAGCTTGTCTTGCTTTTCCGATTCTGGCTTTGATGTCCTCGTCAGTTCCGCCTGTAGTTGAGACGATGCTTCCCAGGTAGGTGAAGGAGGTTGTTTCTTTCAGGTTCTTCCCATTTATGCTTATTGTTGTCTGTTGTTGTTGTGCTGTTGATGTTGGCTAGGAATCTTCATCATCTCTGTTTTATCTATGTTCACGTGAAGTCCTATCTTTGATGCTTCTTCTGCCAACTTGTTACTTTTCACTTGCATATCTTCCAGTTTATGGGAAATCAGACATATATCATCGGCGAAATCCAGATCCTCCAAGTCTTTTGTGTCAGTCCATTTTATGCCTGTTCCCTCGTTGGTTGCCGTTGTCTGTCGCATTATCCAATCAATTGCAATCAGGAAGATCATTGGTGATAGTAGACAGCCTTGCCTCACTCCCGTCCTCACTTCGAAGGCTTCCGTAAGTTTCCCGTTGTGGATTACTTGGCATGCAGCATTGTCGTATAACTGTTGGATGAGGTGTATAATTGTCGATGGGACCCCGTAGTAGCGAAGTAGTTTCCAAATGACCTCTCGATCGACGCTGTCGAAGGCCTTTTCAAAGTCGATGAAGTTGAGATAGAGAGGTGACTGCCATTCCAAGCTTTGTTCAATGATGATCCGTAGAGTGGCGATTTGATCAATACATGATTTGTTTCTCCTGAATCCAGCCTGTTCCGGACGAAGTTTTTCATCTAGGGCTTGTTTGATTCTCTCCAGGATGATGCGACTTAGTATCTTGCTTGGAATGGACAGAAGCATAATTCCACGCCAGTTTTTACATTGACTTAAGTCTCCTTTCTTTGGAAGTTTGAATAAGTATCCGTTCTTCCAATCCTCGGGTACTTTGCCCTCTTTCCACACCTTCTCCAGCAGTGGTGTCATCAAGTCCGCTGTTGTCTCTGGGTCTATTTTCAAAGCCTCTGCTGGGATTCCATCTGGTCCCGGTGTTTTCCCAGCTTTAAGCATCTTGATTGCATTCAGGACTTCTGATTTCGTCGGGGGGTCAGTGTTCACTGGTAGTTCTGCTTCCGTTGTTGGTATTGCTGGACGTGTTGTAGGTGGCGGACGATTTAGAAGTCTTTTGAAGTGTTCAACCCAGTGCTTTCTCTGTTCCACCTCTTTGGTGATTGACTTTCCATTGTCGTCCTTTATTGGCTTAATCTGTGTCGAACGTTTGCCCGAAAGGTTCCTAGTTGTTTGGTAGAGTGTGGCGAGGTCTCCTTTGCCTGCAGCTTGTTCTGCTTCGTTTGCCATGGTTTCATAATATTTTCTTTTGTCTTCCCTGGCACTCTTCTTCACTCTTTTGTTCAGTGTATTGTAGCTTGCATTCAGCTCCTGTTTTTGTTGCTCGTCAGTGCACTGGATAATCTTTTGCTTCACTGTCCTTCTCTCTTCTATTAGTTTCCAAGTGTCCGTAGTGAGCCACTGTTTGTCCTGTCTCTTTTTTCTGCCTAGAATTTCTATGCAGGTTTGGCTCCACACCGTTTTCAAGTTGTTCCAGTGCTTTTCGACGCTGACCTTTCGCTGGTGTTGATTTGTGTCTCGGCTTTGTCCTTTATGCTTGCAATGAAGATGTCCTTTGTAGCCTGGTCCTTCAGCTTTTGAGTGTTGAACTTGGCTTGTGGTCTATCTGCAGCTCCTGATTCCCTGAAAGCTTTTAATTTGATTTGGATTGTCCCTTGTACGAGATAGTGGTCTGAGCCAACGTCTGCTCCTCTTCTTGCTTTTGTGTCCAGTAGGCTGCGCCTCCACTTCCTTGAGATTGAGATGAAGTCGATTTGGTTTTTGGTTTGCCCGTCTGGTGACACCCATGTAGCCTTGTGGATATCTTTGTGCTTGTATACACTGCCACCAATCACCAGTTCGTTGAAGGCGCAGAAGTCGGCGAAGAGTTCTCCGTTTTCATTCATTTCTCCTAGAGCTTCTCTACCCATGATGAGTTCCCTTCCTGTATTGTCTGGTCCCAGTTTGGCGTTCATGTCTCCCATTAGTATTTTCATGTCGCCAGCTGGAGTATTGTCCATTGTTGCCTGTAGTTGCCTGTAGAATTCTTCTTTCTTTTCGAGGTCTGCGTTGTTTGTGGGTGCATAACATTGTATGATTGACACTTTCCTTCCTTTGGAGTTGAACCTGGCGGTCATTATCCTGGACGAAATCGCCTCCCATTGTATCAGGGCTTTCGTTGCCGTTGGTGACATCATGATAGCCACGCCCTCGGTGTGCGTGTGGTTATCTTCTGGGTGACCGGAGTAGATCACTGACTCACCTGTTGACAATTTGGTGAGTCCACTCCCATTCCATCTGCTCTCACATATTCCCAGCACTTGTATTCCGTATCTTTTCATCTCGTTGGCGATCTGGGCAGCTTTCCCAGTCTCGTACATAGTTCGGACGTTCCATGTTCCTACACAGACTTTTTCTTTTGGTGCAAGAGGTTCATTCTGCTGAAGGTTCTGTAGCAATTTTTGTTTACAGGGTGGGGTTGCTAGCCTCACGCCTGAGAAAAGAATGATTACATTAAGTAAAAGTTTAGAGAGAAGCAACTTTTTGGGTTGCTCCCCTCAAAATCAGAAAATAACGGACAAACAATGAGAACAACATCAACAAAGGAAACAGTTCACAGAAAAAAGGGCAAAAAGCGACGACAACTATACAATAAGACAACATGCAATATAGTTCAGCACAGTTAACTAAAATGATATCTTAACCATAAACTCACTGACTTGGAGCAACTTGAACATATAAATCCAACAATATATACAATTATAGATGTGTTTATGTTTAAAAATTCCACAAATCCAAACAGTTAGTTATATGTATTATCTGTCAATAAGATTGTATTTTTTGGATTCAGTGTTCGAAAAGTTAATAATTGTGATAGTTTCCACAAACTCTTGACATAAAATTTTACAGAAATGAGAGTTTTTATTAAATCAACTACTAGTTACTAACCGTCCATAAATTTTAAAGCGTATCAGTAGTATGGACTTTACGCTGGGATGTTAGTTTTCTTTCTTTTTATTTTTTAAACTTTCATTGTAAGAGTGAGTCATCGATAGATAGCAAATTAAACTGTCCAGTCATTTAAGCAAGTTGCCATCGCATAAAAAATATCACTCTGTGATGAACCAAATTTAAGATGAGCAGTGTACTGTAGGCGCCCGGTGACATGATATTTTAACTGTCACTTTCTCTTGTGTCTTTTTGTAATCATTTTTCCTCCTCTCTTTCATTAGGAGAAAGATGCGTTTTATTCAAAAACTATCCTTAGGTGTTAATTCTTGAGGTAGGTATGAAATTTATTTCTTCTGCCATCACACACTAAAATCTGGGCAACGTTGTAGTTTGCTTTCATTTTAGCTTAGGTAACATATAGATAATAAGAAACCTATTGTCCATTACGTGTGTAAACTGTGTGCGTAGATTTATGGTCCGTAAGGTCAAACTGACAACTTTCATCCATTGTAATAGGAGTTTTCTTCATCTACGGAAATTTTAACACCTAGGTAGTGTAATAACCATCACGTAGTAATTCGGTGACTGCGGATTAGACGATCAATGACGTACACCAGTTTTTTGGAATTATTTTGAATTCATGTTTGCTAAACAGTATGCCTTTGAAATTCTATGACAAAATTATCAACCAATACTTCTTGTAAACTTAGAAACGACGAATTTAAATAAATATGATCTGAGTACACAATACTGACTAGTTAAATGTAATCATCTTTGTTTTCTTTGATTTGGTTATTTTTATTATTATTATTTGACTTTCATAATATATTTTGACTGCACTTGTATTTATTATTTACTCGTTCACACAATATTCCAGTTCATTCGATAGCCCTTATGTCGGTGTCCGTCATTACTCCAGCTACTTTATTATTGGTGTATTAATTCTAACGGCTGCTGGCATTTGGTATTTTTGTATTAGGTGAGTTCTCAAATTTTTCCATTGTATTATAACACAATAGGCTAACTAGTTAGCTGTTTGTAAGGGATTGGAATGATTAATAAAAGACTATTATTACTATTAGTCGTCATCACTGTGAAACAAATAGGCAGAAAGAAATGGAGATGGATTGGCCATACGCTGAGGAAACCATCAAGTGACATCACTAGACAAGCCCTCGAGTGGAACCCGAAAGGGAGGCGGCGAGTTGGTCGTCCAAGGGTGACTTGGAGGAGGTCATGCGAGGAAGAGATGAAAGCATGTGGACAGACCTGGAGCAGGGTGAAAAAGTTGTCAGAAAACCGAAGTCAATGGAGGTGCGCAGCTGAAGCCCTATGTTCCTCTAGGAACTAAAGGATACAATAATAATAATACTGTTACTTGGCGTATTGACTGAAGTGTGGAAATTCGAAATACTTCGTCAGTTAATTTCTTTTTTAATTGAATAATGTATCTTATTAATCATCATGTTAAATTCTATAGATGACTATAGATGGTAATAATTGTGACTGACTTGTTGATTTATCACTATAGAACGTTGTACAGAATCCCATTCGTCCATATCGCTACCCTGCATAAAAGTACTCCACTAAATACAGCGTAATTACAAAAGACACAACTGTACAAGAAAGATTAATGATATAAAGAAGAAGTAGAAGAAATAGGATTGAATAAATACGTGAGATTATAAGGAGTGGGTATGATTTGGAGCCCTAATTAGTGTAGAGAATAAACGGCAGTTGATTATTGGTTCATCGCTCACAATTACTGCTTTCGGAAGAATAATGGATCACAGATTTTCTACCAGACAGAAATACTAGTGAATGCCTTTTTGTGTAGAGATTGTTTAGTGGAGTAAAACGTTACTAACTTAAGTGATCACTATGGAGTTGAATAAAACTGACTGGAAGTTGTGAGTGATTGAAACAAATAAAACGATTTTATTTTATTCTATTACAGTTATTTTCTAGTCGTATTTAGCAGTCATAGTGATTGAATAAATTGATAATTAGGTTGATTGAAAGCTGTGTATTATTCTTTCTCTAAGCCTTAACATTCAGGTCATGGCTTCGAACCTCACTTCATCTATAACAATTTTGACAATTACGTATAACTCACTGGAGAGTACACAAACTTCAGTGTTTGTTCAGTTCCTTAAATTATTAGAAAAGGACTTAAATAGAAAAAAAACCATCGAGAAACTGTTTAGTGTGTACCATAAATGACCTGGTAAAGCTTAGGGTATGTAGATTTGGGTCTTCCTCTCGAAATGCTTTCATGTGGCTATGCGTTCGTACCCTCCACCAGGCAAGTCCTATTCACTTTCTCCAGGAAGCGGGGATGTTCCTCATGAAAGTGAAAAGGCTATAGCAAGCATGTGTCACTCAAAACCGGACTAGTAAACATGCTGATCTACCTAAGAGATCTGGAAAACACTGACTCTAAGCCTATGGTGTACATAAGCTCCAGAATCGGAAGGAATCGGATGGCACATGGACTTTTTTAGTCACTGGAAACCATGGGAACGTATATCTTGTGACGCTGCTCACTGTCTTGTGGATCAGATTTCAAGTCAAAGACTTGGTTGATGGCCGTCTAAAACTACCACCTTCGTCGGTCTGGGTGTCTATATAGTATCCCATCCCTCTCACAAACTATGCGATTTTGTGTGGCGCATCTCTTAGTGTCCGTTATGTGTCAAGTCTGTATTTTAATAAAATAAAATGAATAGAGAAAAGGATTTTGTTTGTATCAAGGATGAGGATAAATGTCTAATTGTTCGTCTGTGGACTGCATTGATTTCATGTGCACTTGATTAAGATTTTATGTAAAAGTTATGAGTGTAGTAAATCAACAGCAGGTCGTTTTTACTTACTTACTTACTTACTTATCATTTCAGCAACCATAAGCCAGCCCTGTTTAAAATATTTCATTCTCATATGCATTGAAATGGAATGTAATCTACGGTTGTCTATCACATATAACTGATCTTTGCATACTCATTGTCTACTTATTGATTTCCTAAATTTCTCATCATCTACTTTTTTCATAATATTAAATTATTTTGTATATAACACTTCTTGATAATCACTAGTGGTTAAAGTCTATTAAGCCGATGTTCAAATAAACCAAGGTTTGATATCACCCTAACTCATAATTCGCGGCTAAGTATTATCGACTTTATTTGAGAGTATAGTAGTAATTGAACTTCCACTCAGTTAACAGCAACTGAGAGTGAATATTCAAGCTTATGGAAAAAAAGTTGTGCAAGATATGACTGAAGTGAGTTTTTCAACGATTCTGGTATATTCTTTTGAATCGGCTGGCAAAACAGATACTCAGCATATTGGCATTTTGAATGATGGTGATATTTTGTTGTGAATTGACGAAAGTTCAAAATCATAGGCCATTGGATTCCAACCCAGTGTCTGTTCGGTAGCCTGATAGCTTTAAGCTCGATTCCTTGAGGGATTCTGAGTACTCACTTCTGAAAGTCTCTAAGTAGAAAGGAATAGCTGCAGTTCTTATTAGCTTTTCCATATGATAGTACCGTTGCATTTATTGTTTTACATCCTTCGATACTTATACAGAGTTTGTTGTTTTTTTATGATGTGACCAGATTTTATGCATAGTCGCATTTACTAAATTGGTGTCGTATAGTGTAAGGAAATATCGTTGACTTTACTTGCGTGTGACCCTTTTGTTAAAATGTTTAAGCAACTTATAAAGTTGCAGTGAATACAATGGTCTGTCGAACTAGACACGTGATTACCAAGTTCCAGGTTATGGTGTCAAATTCATCTCACTTACATAGTATTGTGATCATTTGACCTAATATACAGATCTTCGCAAGGGTTCTGGGTTTTAACTATGTATTCAGGAGGATCTTACTATACATATGTAATATGTGGTCATCTTATTTACTCTTCGGATGTTTTTTATCTCAAAGTTTCTGATTTTATTTTGTTGCATCAATTGTGTCGTGTTTATGCACTGCTGAAGGATTTCAGGTAGAGTCAAGTCATTTCAGTGGTGTTTCCTAACTGGTATTGATATGTGTTGAAAGTTACCAGTATATTCTTTTTGTTTATCATCCTTCTCATGCTTTTTATTGTATCTTTTATTTCACTTTTGCTTGGCTAAACAGATCGCCTGGATATCCATATGAATGTGTATCACACCCGGATGCACCTTTTCCATCAGAACCTCCTCCATCGTATGAAGAAACAGTACTCAATAGTAAGTGTTTTTCACAACTACTTATTAGTACCGTCATTAGGGATACTTTATAGTGAACTTTAAAGTATGGTTTGATGAAATTTGTCTAAAAGTGGGTCTGTTTTCATACCTTTGCGGTCCTAGTGGAACATGAGGCTTCAAGTCTTTGGAGATTAAGTAGCAGTGATGTTCCCTCACACTCAACCTTCTGTCTTTTCCGGGCTAACTGTTGGCTAATAAATTAGGTGAGGTTTAGGAGTGCGCTGGCCGATAATCGAACCCCGGATCTTGGATGTAGTCTGCGAGCATTCTACCACACACTTCTGTCAGTACATGGTGAAAATAGCCATTGGTTAACTGATTGTTTCATAGTAATTCTTAAACTATTTAGCAATTGGGTCTTTTAAATTGATTATGTCCCTCCACAAAAGTGACTCCTCCTTCCCTGAGACCATTGTTTCACTGTTAGCTATTAACATTCATAATGAACACTTAATTATCTGGCACATTCTTTCTGGTCTGAAAAGTGAAACTAAATCAAAAGCCTGAAAAAACCCAGACGACGCCGAAGAAACTGCTGTCTATGAAAGTTGAATTTAAAGATGATACTGGGGCTGAGATTCTAAAGAACCGCTTATCCTGAGCTGAAATCAGTTAGAGCACCATTGGAAGGTCTGGGATTACTGGACAGCTGTTTCGTCCTGGTCTGGAACTCTTCATGGTACGCACCCACCGGTGTTTGAACCCAGGACCCATTGGTTCTTTGGCTGATGTCAACTCATGATGAAGTCCTCCAACCAATCAAACAAAGATCCCTACAAAACCAATACTTAAAAAGACCGCTTGTCCAAATAACTGAGAAACGCCTTCTTTTCCGCCGAGTTACGAATCAGTTTTTACAGCCGACAGATGACCAGTTGATGGGTGTAGGATAAACTGCCTCTTTGAGCCACCTCAATGTTTGTTTATAAATTCACTTTTTTCCGTGGAGCTAGTTATATTGATCGCACAAAGCGCACACTTTCCCAAGGCATTTCTGAATATTATCCGGCATGGTTAGCAGAAGGACAATACACTTAATACCAATTTCAACCTTATCAAATTCCTAACCTTTTCTTCCTTTGTTGCCGTTGAGCACTGCGTAATTTATAACTTTTATTTTAACTTTTGAAGCCACTTCTGAGTAAATATATTAATTACATCATCCCCCCCCTTCTACTCAATAATGGACTACAATACATTTTTGGTAAATGTAAGTACGACTCTACAGACTCTGAAGAGGATTTCGTCAAGGAAGAAAATTTTCTTCAAGTATTGGTTTGTAGGGATTTAGTTGATTGGTTACAGGATTTCACCATGAGCTGACGTTGGTTAGAGAACCCTTGGAAAACCTGAGAGTACTGGACAGCTGTTCCGTCCTAGTTTGGGACTCTTCAGCAGTACGCACCCACCGGGATTCGAATCCAGGACCTTCCGGTTACAAGGCGAGCTCGTATACCATTAAGCCACTGGGACCCGATCCAATGGCCCATGAATTCTAACTTCTGCCAATTCACGATATAGCGCGACCGCTAGCCAATGTCTTTGGAGAGTATTTGTCCTCACACCTCACCCGCTGCACCCTCCTGGTCACGACTTCCCACTGGAACCCAGGTAACTACCTACCTGAATAGGGCCAGTCGCTTCACTGAATTATCTTTTATTTTCCTCATGACTTAATGAGTACTTCCGGTGATTTGTTGCTTATCGTAATACAACTAATCAAGTGTGTTGTGCTGTCTGAGAAAACTGTATTTACTTTAGCTACCCTAATAGCCACCAGATAGATATAAAATCTAGATAGGCGTGATAGTGAATTTACCAAATATAAATCAGTGGTAAGATTAACAGTCCTATTATCAATGAAGACTTGTGTGTCTTAGTGAGTGACTTTAATTCTAGTGCCCCCTAAAACTTCTAAGACCTGACAATCGAAATGCTGGAGTAACCAGAATAGAAATAGTTGGAAGGTAACTCAGTCACATAAGATATATATATATATATATATATAAATGCAGTGTTTATTTCCAGACGGAAAATATCATTAAAACAATGATAATGCGAAGCTATAATACAATTTATGTTATCCATTAGCATAAATGATTTTCTCAACATAAATATAGATTATGAAAAGTTTTTCGCATTTTTAAGTTAAGTAGATCAAAGTGCATATTACCGATAAACTCGGCTTCTAATGATATAAACGGAACTATTCAGCGTTTTGCGTTAACTCGATCTAGTTAACGGACCTACCTACATCTACTTTTATCAGTCATCATCATGTGTTATAGTATTGTATTTGTATTTAATGTTATTGGTTCTAAATTTCATGATACGGTTGTAGTGATACCTTTTTTTTATCATATTTACAATCAATTTTTACCATAGATGGTGAGGATTATTCAAGGAGACGTCGTCCACCTCCATCTGCGCCTCGTGAATATGGTTGGTCATCCAATGTTACCGGCTCATCAAGATGTCCAGGATTTAATACACACTGGAGTAAAACAAATCATCAACAGGAGAGTAGTTCATGGTTATATAATGGTCTAGCTGCTGGTGCAGGATTTCTAGGTGGTTATTTTATGGGATCTAGAACAAATGATGGTGGTAGTTGTTCCCGACCCACTCGAGTTTGCACTCAAGAATCGTATGTTCGAAATGGAAATGTCTTTACAGATTCACATTACGGTTTTACATCTGATGACTCTGGGCATTATCGTCGTTCACGTACACCATCGCCTGAAACACACATATCATCAGGTAATTTTGCATATGTATTTCACGTGTTTTTGAATCACAAAGCATCTGCATACGTATTGACATAATAAACGTTTTTTCTTTAAATCGCATAACTGTTCAGACTAGATTATGCTGATTTTTCTTTTCTTTTTGTATATATTTCAGGCTTCGGTGGGACTTCGCGTAGATAACTCTTTTGATTTGAATATATTTCACCTGTTTCTATGGTATCATACACTCAGTATACACATCCACATTTTCACCGATTCTGTTACCACCAGATAGAAGTTAACCATATTTCGTTTAACTTTTATTTTTCTCTGCATAATTATCTTGTTTTCAGTAAAATGGGCATTTCTTTATGAATTATAATTCTTATCACATTTAGAGTTGATATATATATATTCTATGTATATAAATGTTCTTATATTTTGACCGTTTGTGATGTGATATTGCCATTCTCTCTCCGTTTAATTTGAAATAAAAAATACTGCAGCAACACTAAATGATTTTGTAAACGTTAATCAGTAGTTGTCTTGCATGTTGGTCAAAAGACAAGTGTACTGCTCAGTAATTCGCTCCTTTCCTACTCTATGGCTGTGAGACAAAGTCATTGTAAATGGAAGACATGAAAAGGCTGACTATCTGTCTTCGATCATAGGCATCTGCGTTCTATTTCCCATGTAAGGTGGTATAATAGGGTGAGTAACATATCTGTCTGTCTGTTTTCGACATAGAGCTTTGCACAAATGTGCGGCAGTTCAAATCGCCACAATCCATGTAGCGCACAAAGCAAGAGAAGAAAGTAGAAGAAATGCATATTAGAGACAGTGAGCAGAGGGGTGAGACAAAGGAGTAATAACGAAGAACAAAACAGTTTTATTGGAAATCATAAGTCACAAGGAGTGGATGCATCTGCTTTGGTCATTGAGAACGATTTCGAGCCATGTCACCAATTGTTTCCAACCATTGGTTTTTACCGTTCCGAAGACCCCAACCAGGAAGTCTACACCTTCCTACGTGACTGGCTTAAACTAACTATTGTAGATTTCATTGACTGGTGCCATGTTTTGGTGTGACCGCCGCTAGCTCTTTTCCAGCCTGACCCTGTCAGCTAACATTGCTCGTCGAGGAAGGCGATGACTAGACTAGACATACGTAACACATGTCCTAACCATCTCAGTCGATGTAACTTCACAGCCTCGTCGATTGATTTCCCCTCCCACCTACCTAGCACTCGACGCCTAACCTCAATATTGCTCACCTTATTATACCACTTCACCAGGGAAATAGAACTCAGGCACCTATGATCAAAGACATTGAGGTTAGGCGCTGTGCATTCCTTCCAAAAAAGGAGTTCGGGATGATAATCCAACAATTATCAAAACCATATGTTGAGTGATGCGTAAAACCCGAAAACATAGGGTGTGTTTAAAATACGGTACTCTATTAAACATAAAAAAATGAAATATACAAACCTCAATGCCGTCAAAAGGCACAGTCAGTGTGCATCAATAAGTAAAAACAGCAGAGCTGTGTCAAAGGCGATCCACGTGTTATTTGAACAACTTGAGAATGCCAGACACGGAATAATCGGATACGAATAAACAATGTTCAACGGCAACGAGTACATAAATAAAACAGCAGATAATGTTTGACTATAAGAAACTGATTACTGTACATCAAACAGACTAGTAATAAACGAAATATTCCCGTATTGAGTCATAAGAAAAAGACGTAAACAGTGAAGAAAATTTTCTTTTCGACTATTCATTTTCGTAAGCTGTACAGTTGTAATTATATTTATTAAAGAATTCGTAAAACCGATCAAGCACTGGTAAAATTTGTCCTCAAAAACTCATTACGTAATGTTAGGTGTAGTCTAGAAGGAGTGACTGATTGGAAATTAGAAAAGGGGCTGAAGTCGAGATGACGCAATAATGTTGAGAAAATGACCAATCGATATAGTTGTGTAAAGCAGACAGGAACTAGTGGAAAGACCATAAAGTGTTCTTATAAAATTTTTATGAAAACGCAATGTTATTAATAATTAGTAGAGTTATACTAAAAGAAGGATGATGAGAATAATAATAATAGTAAACTTACATAATAAAATGTATCAAAATTATAGTAAGAACGTTACTCTGGCCACGGTAGCGTGACAGAATGTATGTGGTGCTTTTGAATGCAGAGGTTTGATTGTATAGATGGCGTATTCGAATTCCTTTCGCGCGATAATGAGGAACTCCAGGAAGCGGTGCAAGGGTGCTCGATGTCCAGAGTTAGAAAGGTGTTCGGTGATACAACTACTGATATTTTTCTTTTCTCCTCTGGCTAACCAGGTTGGACAGTGTTCCAGAATACATTTGTGAACTCGACGTTGTGTACGGCCGATATACTTTGCTCCACACGAACAAATAAACTGATAAATACACATTGAGGTGGCCAAAAGCGGTGTCAATCACGTCTCATAAACCGTTAATGCCCAGCTCTCGCTACGCTCGGGCCCACGCTGTTCTTTGAAGATTCAGAAACGCTTAGTTATAACGGACGCAAAAACCAAAACACCGATTGGCCGCTTGCTATTTGTTTATTGTTACACCAACATATAAAAGGAATAAGCGAACTAAGGTCTGAAAACAAATATTACAATAATAAATCTCTGTATTACTTCTGACGATGTTTCACTCTTCTTTCTGAACAGCGACCGATGAGACGATGACTGTCGTATTGATGCCTCCGCGAAAATTGGGGAAGTTGGTTTGAGCAAACAACCAAGAATTGATCGTTCAATCTTCAACTCCATTGACACTCCCCGGCAAAAAAGGGATCCAACCCTTTTTTCCTTCACGACCAATGCACGTTGACTTGGATGCCATTGCGAGAACCTGGGTCACACGGACAGAGCTGAAATGGAAAACAAACAGAAAAGCCAACACACCACAAGCATACCCACAGCACAATCTCACACATCAATGACGACCTGCGCCTCCAGACAGAGACCTCCTCTTGACATCTTGCAACACAATCGCCACTTACTAGAATGACTCTTGCAGAATGCAAAGTGACCATGGCAGCACCTCACGATACTCTACGCACATCCTCTTATCTACTCATTACCAATTACCACTGAAATCGCTTGTCACTCATTCTGCCTCAGTTCTAGTAACGGTGACGTATGCGAGCCTCAGTCGTTTACACTCTTTCTCCCCGGCGTGTTGGACCGCAGCTAACAATTATCTCCGTGTGCATTTCATTCTCAGCAATAGCCTAGCCTCCCCGGCGTATACGACCCATCTGCTGTCCTTAACATCAATCAATTCATTCATGGATGTAGAAGAGTGGACACAACTTCAGAAGTAATCACGACGAAAATTTTAACAAAACTGTGCAATAACAACAAGGTACGAAAACAACAAGTAAACACAATGAATCCAAAAACACCAATTGATAGGACACACCACACGTATATACAAATATACAAACAAACTCGCAGATCGTGTCTCAATGGAATTCCTTTGAAGAATCGCAGGACTTACACCAGTACACTTGCAACCCTTCACAGGTTGACGATTGTAAGTTGTGGAATGTCCGGACACAAACAAGATTAACCAACAATTACAATAATTGGAACTCACACAACTATTTAACACAAACATATGTACAATCAACACATCAAATGTTGTGGATTCTACCTTGACAAACTACCCTTGAAGAACTGTAGGACTTACAGCAGTACGCCTACATTCCTTCTCAGGTTGATGATCCAAGTGGAAGTCGTCCGGACACAAACAGAATTACCAACAGCTAGATGACAGATGATATCAATTCAGTATATACAATATGAACATATGTACAAAATCATACACCAAGCACATTGGACTGCTCATTGATGCGCTACCCTTTGAAGAACTGTAGGACTTACAGCAGTACGCCTACAACCCTTCTCAGGTTGACGCCCTAGGTTGGAAAATCGTCGCAGAGTTCATTTGCTAACTTCCTTCTATGAGCTATATCCTCAAATCTGAACGGCAACACGCCCATGTCATTGTATCGTAGAATATAGATGACCAACAAACACACGACATATCTCATCAACCAAGTATAGAAACAGAGTAATTTACACCAAAGATAATAACATTCAAATAGTAACTTGAAACTAGAAATGCCTTTATTCGTGCAAGTCAATTTAACAATAACTCTCTCCTTTACACTTGGCTTATCCACACTAAACTGACCATTGATATTCGTCCTTTCAAACGAACTGATACTAGCATAGTCATTGCACAAGATACTTGAGTTGATGGGTGTCTGTTTCATTGTGGATGACAGCACCAACGACGACTGATTGATATCAGTTGATGAAGTTAGCGGTGGATCAGAAGCTGTTGTTGCTCGACTTTCAGAAAGTTGTCTACCTGCAAGACCACCACCACTGCTGTCTTTTACTATCAGCTCAGGTTTAGCACTAGCATCTGATGATAGGTGGGCTTCACTCTGATCAATTACACTGACGGTTTGACAAGTATGCATGCCTTCTGCAACTGCATTTAATTCTACTTCACGTTCAAGTTGTACAGAACCTTTATTTAACTTAGCGGTAGTAGGCATTCCCCCCATTTCATCATGATCAACCAAAGAGAACTCTGCACTATCATGATCATTATCACAAATATTCAATTTACCGTCAAGTTCATCATTTTCAAACTCTTTAATAACAGAAGTAGACAATTTTGGTTCCTCCTCACAAATCATTAAAGGTTTTATAACTTCACTCTGACTAGTTATACTTTGTAAACTTGTGGAGTCAGAACTCCACTCTGAAGCAGTAACTCTATTCTGTGACACTCTATTCAGCAACGGCTTACCAGTTGCAACTACAGACTTCTTCACAACAACGTTATCGTCACACAATTCGGAGTCAGACCTGGAGTTTACATTTAGCTTATCACTGAACTTGCTCACCGGTTCACAGTTCACTTCTGTATGCACCTCTTGCACACGTGTCAAGCACAACCGTGTTTGTCTTGCATCTTGTAACTTATCTGTTGAGGATGTACTACGAAACCTGTTACACTCACTAGGTCTATATGCATTACTAGACATCATGGAGCCTTCTCGATATCCACCTCTCTGAGGCCTACTCGTCATCAATGATTGCATTTTGATCTCAGACTGCTCTATTCTAGGGGTGAGATGTAATAGACTGGCAAACTTGCTCATAGATTGATTGACGCTATCTTTTACCAGTTTCAGGATATCATCAAACTTTGGCTCGATACCCTCATCCTCCATACGGGAGCTTATCTTCACCCACTTCCTTTGCAGTCGAGTAGGTAGACGTCTTGCTATTACTTCTAGTATAAAACTCGAGTTGAGGTCACTCGTGCGATTCATCGAAATCATTCCATTCTTGTAAATTAGCAAATTATCTAAAAACTCAGTGAGTGCCTGGGAGTCATCCTGTAATTGACCACCATTACCCTTAACAGCCTCGAATAATTTC